CCACATCATCCAGATTATTAATGAAGATGTTAAAAAGGACTGGGCCCAGTGTTGACACCCTGTGGTACACTGCGAGTTACTGACCTCAAACTAGATTTATACCACTGATCACCACCCATTCAGCCAGTTTTCAATCCACATCACTGCCTGCTTATCCAGCCCATACAATAGCAGCTTGTCTATGAGGATCTTACGGAAAAGAGTATCAAAGACCTTAATAAAGTCCAGGTAGACAATATCCATTGCTCTCTGCTCATCTGCCAGGCCAGTCATTTCATCACAGAATTTTATTAGTTTGGTCAATCACAACTTCCTCTTGATGAATCTGTGCTCCTGATGATGGTTTCCAGGATTGGCTGTTTCATCACCTTCGCAGGGATCGAGGTGAGGCTGACTGGCCTGTAGTACCCTGTAGTACCCTTCTTGAAGACAGGAGTGACACTTGCTTTCCTCCAGTGTTTGGCCACTTCTCCCATTCACCCTGATCAGTCAAAGATTGTCAAGAGTAGGCTCAATAACATCTGTCAGCTTCTTCCTCAGCACTTGTGGGTGCATCCCACCAGGGCCCATGGACTTGCTCAGGTAGCAGGTACAGAGCCAACTTTATTAACAAATAACCTCATCTCCATCAGTGATATGGAATTTTTCTTTGAAATTGCTATAAATAGATAAAGCAGCTAATTGTATCAGTACCTCAGGTCACATTCTCTGCCAAATGGCAGAGAAATGGCAGGTCTCTGCCTCCACCCAAAAATCAATAATCTGGCATTTCCTGTTTAAATTTTATATCTCCATAATCTTAAATTGCTTCTCTAAATATTTTCTTAGTTCCTTTAATGTTGTAGTTATGAAAAAATATTTCCATTTCTATAAGAAAATAATTAATTCCACTTCCTAGTCCATACCCCTGTTCTTCCATCTTCCCTGTGAGCTTGCAATTTGCAAGCTAACTTCTTGTGAATGGTTAAAAAGGAAAGGTTTTCCTCGCCTTGGAGGCTAGTTGCTATTGTGGCAGCGTGACAGGAGATGTAGTGATGAGCAGAATTTGGGCAGGGTGCAGGTAGCTCAGTTCAGGCGTATGGTATCAGGGACACCCAGTGTCTCCCCTTCGCGGTGGCAGATGTGGACACTTGGTGGGTGAGGTAGGGCTGTTCTGTCCTTTGAGCTACACGTGGGTTGGATTACTCTACTAAAAGCTGAGGCGGTGGTCAGTGACTGGGTGCTTTAAGAGGCAGTAGAAGTTGTTAGTACGGGAGTCCTGTCAGAGAAGAAGGCTTGTTCGTGGGAGATCATGTTCCTCCTCCCTGAGAAGCTAACTTCGAACAAAGTGGAAGGGGAAGTAGTACTCAGCTATAATCAGTTTTAAGTGGATCGACTTTTCAGTATGTGTGGCACACAGAAACATAAATCTTTAGACTATTGTGCATAACAATAGGAAATATGTAGACTGGCTGATATGAAATGGGATATTACTACAGCACTTAAGTTTTATTTCAGGAAACAATGTGTACGCTTCCTTTAAAAACAGTTCAGGGGAAGGCAAGAAAAGCCAATTGTCACCCACATACAGATGTTTTCTATTTTTTAATGTAAATAAGGGGCTTGAAATGATGGAGTTTATTTTTAGAAGATGTTTTATGAATCCAGGCAACCATGAAATATTACAGAAAGAGTTTGATTATATCCTATGTCAGAAACAGGTGAGTTTTCCTGAAAATTGTTTGCAGCTCAAGAGTTGTGCTACTTGTAAAAACAGACAAGAGTTTGGAAATGACAGAAGCCAAGTGATTTAGAGCTGGTGAAAAAAGGTACCTTTTCAGGGAAAACTTGAGCCAAAGAAAAGTCCCTTTTCTTGCCGAACAGTTTCAAAGCACAGAATCCCTCAACCAGGCCTAATAAAGAAGCCAGTGTCTCCTGTGCATCGGTGTGAGAGCACTAAAACGAAATAGACTGTCTAAGAATGCAATAAATCATATCGGGTCATTGCACTAATGAACAGTTTGGGCCCAAACTCTCATTAGCTTGTCTGCTGGAAGAAAAAACTAGTAAAACAGGAAAAGAACATATGAGAGAAGCTCTTTGCTGGTACTATCTTAAGCTTTTATTGTTGAAGGACACCCTTTAGCTAATTTCAGACCCATTAAAAAAAAAATAAATCTGTTTGGTAATTAGTAACCAATGGATAAGAGCAGAAAGCCCAAGTGAATAAAGCCATAAATACCTAAGTCCTTGGGATAACAGCCTGTAAAACTGTCAAGAAGCATTGCTGAAGTGACAAAAGATAGCCTCTGGTAACTGAAAGTATTGGCACTATCGGCACTAATCCATATTCATATATGGAAGGCATATTTTTAGTTCCTTCCAAAAAGACAAGCCTTTTCTGTTAATAACATTCATTCTTATGTTAAAAGCAGCTGTTTCTTGTGGGTGCTCTCTCATCCCGGATTTCTCAAAAATCAAAAAAGCTAGGTTTGATTTCCAGTACTTAACAATTTTAACATTTATGCAAATTTGTATTTCTCAAAATAAATTTTCAGACAGGGCTGTTTAAGGGAATAATGTCGGTTGTTTCAAGAGGCATTAAGAACCCTTTTAAAAAGACTGTGAATGGCCATTTGTGCTTCACTGGGACTTTTATGGTGTGGCTTCCCAAAGTGAACTTGCTAAAGGAGAGCAGAATTTTTATCAGGAAGGTATTATAACAACTTTGTGTGTATTCATATCCATTTCTTCTTGTGATCCTGCCTCAAGTAGTTAAGGCTAGGAGAAAATGTTAACATGGAGGAATTTCACTGGTGTTTGCATACCTTATAATATGAATGAGACCAGCTTTGCCCTTTTTCATTTCCAGTAAACTAATTCAAAAAGAAAGTAGTGAAGCTTTAATAGTGACAAATATCTCCATACCTGTGTGATTATTTTTTCCTACAGTTGTAGCACTTCTTCAAGTATTTTAAACTGAACATAATAGCCTTTCAATGTTTGTTACTTTTTTAAAGGAATGGATTTTACAGAAGTTAAAGTTCATGCTGAAATTAAGAAAGGAAAAATAGAGTTAATGGAAATCTGCAGAAACCAGTTGTCAGCTAGTTATTTTGCTGCAAAAAGCAGAAAGTGACAGATAAACCAGATGTTTAATAATAACCTGAAGCTGGAAGACTGATATTATTTTCCAGAATGGTGATGTCTTTAAAGTTTGCATGAGCCTTGTTCCTCATCAGTGCAGTCTGTTTCATGTTATCATAATTATTTTATAGCTAAAAATCTTGTTTGGTTTTGCAGAAGTTCAGGCAGTTAAAAGAGAAAAAGAGTTCTTTCAGAACTATGTGATCTTTGGAGCAGTGTCATTGGTGCTGCAGTGTCTTCCGAAAAGGCATGATGCTGTGGACAGTGTAAGAATCTCTCTCAGCACTCAGAAATGAGTTTTGTTGTTGATTGGGTTGGGTTTTCTTGCACGGAATTGATTCACCTGTATACAAGCTGTGTACACACATATATATGTATATGTTCACACCGTACCATCCGGTCCGGAGTTCGCATTTTAACTGTCTGTCTGAGAGCTGGAGCTGGTGTTGATTTGAGGAGAGCAGATGTTAATGGTGTTTTTCTCAAGCATTCTGCTGCCCAAATAGGCATCTCTCATTGTGAGAGAAGGCGGTAAAAGGCTGTAAATCTGCCTGCTCATTATGAAAGGCAACAATAGATTGATTTATGGAGAAAAAGCAACTGTTAGGTAGCCTGTGTGCATGAAAACGGAGTTTTACAGTGACTGGATATTACTGCTCCTATTTTTGAGAACAATTTAGTTCTAACTTAATCATGAGGGATATTGCACAGGAAAGGAGAATCAGAAAACTTTTGTTAGCCTGGATAACACGTCACAATAACGCAGTTGTATAAAATCTAAAGTGTAAGCAGTTTTTATTTTCAGTAGTAGATTTTTAGATCATTAGTTAACCTGATTTTCACCATTCCTTCTGTATGGACGCTTCTTTCTTGTCTTATGTTCTCTGTTGGCATCCCCTGTGGCCACATACCCGATCCGTTCTTTGTCTCACATACACAGATGAGTGTGCGAGTGCGTACTAGCACCCATGTGCTTCAACCCACTGAGCCTAAGAAACAGCAAAAAAGCTTATGGATGCATGCAACGTGGCAACAGGAAGCAAGACTTCCAGTACAACCCTTATAGGCCATAACCACTATGAGAATAATTGAATTATACAGAATTTTTAGATTAAGTAATAGGCCTTTCTCACTAATTTTGTAGAATTTTAGAGATAAATTTAGACATTATACACAATAGTGGAAAACCAATGTATAGAACTGTTAAGGAATGTAAACTGATTTTAACAACTATTTAAAGATCTAGTTCTCTTTTGTAAATCTAGGTTCCAGATAACTTCCCTCTGTACAAGGCAGTCTTTCTGGTTCAATCACTATTACTATCTGTAGGTTCTTAATACATACGAAGAGTGTTCAGATGAGAGAAAACCCTATAACAGCAGAAAGGTTTATTTTGAATCTCCATATTAAGAATTATATTCTAAGTAAGAAGAAAGAAAACTGTCTTAAATTTTCTGGCATTTACTGATCAGGTCTTCCTGTGTTTTTTGATTCTACTACATCATTACTAATTTGGAAAATGTTGCAACTACAGTATGAGAGAGACATGAGAGCCTTAGGTTTATTATAAACTCATGTAGGCTTTCATGTTGTATAACCTTTAAAACAAGGCATCAGGAACTTCTTGTTAGGATATTGGCTTTAATAAAGAACTAGACATGTTGTAGTAGTGTGTATGCATGTTGCGTGAATAGCAATTTCCATGATGTTTGCCTTACTGACAACTGAAATAAAGATCTTTGAGTATTATTCTGTTTCGTAGTTCTTTTTTCTTGACAGCATGCCTTAGGCAGTAGCAAAGAGCAAGAGTTGTAGACAAAAATGTTTCTTACAATGTTATTTATTTTCTTTTTTTTTTTCTTTCTCCTTTTAAGTCTGAACAGCCCAGTCCTGCCAGTTCCAGCTCCAGTTCCAGTTCCAGTTTTACACCATCTCAAAACAGCAGACAACAAGGTACCAACAAAGGAAACGAAATTGAAAGGAATGTGTGAAATGAAGAAACCAATAAAAAAAGAGCTGGTGTCATCTCATTACCACTTTTCTGCTGCCTCTCGCAGCCTGAACTGGCCACAGTTTTGCTTTAGAGACTTTTCCTTGGATTGTTTTCAGATGTGGCTATAAGGGCAAAAAAAAAAGGAGAAAATGTGTATCTGAGGGTGTGAAGGGCATTTGTTTTGAAGCACTAAATACATGCCAATCGCCTAACAGATGCTAAACTTAAAACAGCTTCTGTTTCTGAGGTTGTCCTTTTGCAGGATAAGATACCATGGTGGCTGGCTCTATCTGAAACCCTACTCAGGAAGGTGTTGCATCCTGTGGGAAGCCCAAGGATGTGTATATGTGGGCCCTTTCAAAGGGCCAGGATCTTTCCATACTATTGGGAAGTTATAAGAGCATACTGTATTTACTTTAGCTACATGGCAGGGGAGAGTGGTGGTTAGACTTCAAGTTGACTTTAAGTTTGCATTTTGGTCTTCTGGCTAATAATTACAGTTTACTTGGAAGTCAGTAAAGAAATGCATTTTTCTTCCCAAAGAACTTGCCAAGGCAGGTTTTCTGTAAATAAGTTGAGATTAATAAATCATGTAGAATGAATCTGCTTCATTCCTGTTTGGCATTTCTCCCTGGGTTTATAAGATTGTAAAACTGATGCATTCTTAATCAGCTTTTGTTTTGTTTTTTGGATCAGGAGCATTAAAAAGGCAACTTTTCACTAATTAAAATTTCATTTGTTTTATCCATTTATATTCCTCAATGGTGGGCTTGATTTAAGGTTATGAAAGCACATTAGTGCCTCAGGGCAACAGCTTGTTTTTAAATAGATCTGCACGTGATGTATTATCTGTCTTACTGCCTTTCTGTAGATGACTGGTACTGATTTTCTTGTGTGATCTGGCAGCATTACTCTAGGTGAAAGAAAGCAAGAACTGAAGTCAACTGTGGTTGACGACTGGCTCCAGGCATTTGATTTTTACCTAGGGCTAAACAGAATCTCTTCTTGCTGAAAGCGCATTTTTGCTCCCATAAAACCTCCTTAGTGATGTGGATTGCCCATTACAAGCTAAAAGATTTGGATACCCATTCCTGGATTTGTGAGCAGACTGGATCCATCTGTCTCTTCTGGGTTGTATATAAGACATACCAGTCTGTCTTTCAGATTTTTGTTTCTTCTCAAGAATAAATGGCAGATTTTTCCTCTGATATGAACAACTCTGAAATGCAAAGTATATGCATCTCCTCTTTATTGCCACAGTAAATAGTGATTACTGCTTCTTTCTGGGAGTTCCAGTTAACTGAGTGCGTCCATTGCCCAGGCTGTGCATTTGTATATCAAAAGGATGAAGCGCCAGGCATACTGTGGCATGTTCACACTGTATCTTGTGCTCTGGTCAGAACCCATGCTTTTTTTCCAAACTAGAAGTTGCTTGTGAGGGCCCTTGCTTTTTTTCTGTTGTGGTCAAAGTCCAGTCCTCGCTTAAAAATGAGAAAACAGCAGCTTGAACTTTTTTCACCTCTTTTTGCATAAGCAGTGGGCTAACCTAGGATTCTTCTGCCCTCAGGGCAAACTCTCATATTTCTCAGTTTCCTTTCGGAGAACGCTTGCTCCTGAGCATCTCCTAGTTTTAAGTTCCTCCTTAACTATTCTGACTCTTTAGGAGATAACAACTTACCAAACCCTTAATGTCATGGAATTTTAAATTAAGAGTTAGCAAGGAGCAGAAGATGCACAGTGACATCACTATCAGTGCTAGAAACAAAAGACCTAAAAATTAATGCTTTGCTGGTTGTGAGGGGAGTCTACTGAAAAAGTTAGCTGGGTCCAAAATGCCTATTCAGAGTCACAGGCGTGCCCCTACATTAAGTGAAAACTTGTCTGCAAGACAGTTTGTTCAGTGCCCATTGGCTGTCAGTGATGGACGTGTATCAGGAGTCCAAGTTCCTTTTTCTCCAGGAAAGAGGAACGAGCCTGTTGGCATCTTGAGACAGGACTTGTCTGATTGTCCCAGAACACAGCAAGGGAGCATCAGGGGATAAAATGGCCCTCTGCTATACTTGCAAAAAGGGCATAGGTAGAAATAATGAGTTAGCTTAGCTTGTGAGAGCAGACTCTGTAGGGATCCCGGGGAACGTGTGCTGGTTTTCCTTCTGCTTCAATTTAAAAATAAAATCAAGGAGTGATGTTTTGGCAAGCATAGCTAACAGTTTTTGTGTCGTGGAGTTTCGTGCTGGTGTTTTATGCAAAATCAGCTGTTCATATATCATACTAAATTTCATTACAAAATTTTGGTAGATTATTTTACTTTTCCTCCCACTAACCTTTTCCTCTGCTCTATCTGTCGTTTACCAAGTCTTTTCTATCATTTTCTTCCCCCTGAACATTGTGGAGAGGAGAGGAATGCTTTCTTAGAAGCTGACTTTGGCCTATGGTGTGGAGTGAGTCTCATCTGCTCTCAGTGCAGACAAAGATGACCGTCTTCAGTAGGACTTTGATGGTGGTTGTTAGTGTCTTTGCCCAGTAATGTATAAGGAAACTAGCCTTTCTAGGCTAAGCCTAGCCTGTGGAAGTACCCTTGCATTCTGCCTTTTTTTCCTCTCTTGGAATATGGAATCTTCTTTTTATGTTTATCATTTACCTCAGTTCATTTATCTCCCTATGCCATGTCTCTCATTCACCCACCTCAACAATCAAGCCAGTCAATAAGAACATTTTCCAAAAGATCAAAGAGGACAAATTCTTCCTGCATCCCTGTACTGGTGCTGCTGGGAGTGCCCTCTCTCCTCCCTTTAAAAAGGGATATCTTTATTACTGTTCCTATTAAAAGCCAGGGAAGGAGTCCTTTCCCTCCTTCAAGGGTCAGATGATATTCAGTCAGACTACAAGTTACCATTTGCAAGTGGCTGTGCGTTGTCTGTCTGAGACCCAAATAGGAACAGAAAATGGAGCACAGATCAGCTCTTCTGTAGATCAGCAATCGTTGTGTGGACAAGAAGCACTTGAGTATAGCATCCCTTGCCTTGTTGCCTGTACAAGCTCCTGGTCCACCAGGAATTTACCCATCAGCACCATCTGGGCTTCTTCCCAGCCGACCTTAGGGTGTAAAAACAGAGAAAAAAAACCTTTGTTCTGAACCTGCCCAAACTGCACTGATTTGGGAAAGTTCTAGTGCAAACTTGGTGGTTAATCGTTCTCAAAATCGTCTTTGAAGTCAGTCACAAACAAATAGTCAAAATGCCTGAGACCTGAGCCTTGCTAGGTCTGTAATAATCCATAAAGCTGTTCCTTCCGTGATGGGAACACCTTCCCTGTTGGCAGTATGACCCTGACAGAGGTCTGTTCTCTCTTCTGACCAAGGATGACGCTCCTTGACTTGTTTCCCCTAGCAGCAAATAGAGAGTTGCAAGCTTCATCTCCCTTTGAAGAACTCTGAGGATCACTTCATTCGCGATAGTACTTTGTGTTTCCTGGGCTGAAGGAATTGCAGAACCCCCTTATAGTAATCACTATTCCTGCAGTCCTCACCATTGCTTTTTCTTGCTGCTTTGTGTCTTAGATGAGCTGTACTTCAGAGTTAAACGCCCTGTGGCATCAGTGTTGCTTCCTTCCCTCTTCTAAGCTACTTTTGCCCGTTCTTACTTCAAGAAGCTGTAGTTTTACATTTCCCAGAGATGTTAAATATATTCCTCTTTCTGTAGCTGTCTTTTACAGCAAAATAAATTGAGTAAAATCAAACTAAAATCCCAAACTGGATTTAACGCACTTTTATGAGCAAGTCAAGCTTTGTACCTTCTGTTAATTCAGCAAAAGAGGTGGCACGGTGTTGCGTGAGATTGATGCACTTTTTACATGTGAGCATTGGCAAAGTGCTTACTTGACCTGGAATTGACCCTGAAATAAAGGGAACAACTAAAGCTAAATATATAAAAAACAGGAAGACAAAGACTGCCTCAGCCAGTAGGAGCTAGAATGATTTGTTCATGTCTGCTTCTCAATACATGGATTAACACAACAAATGTGCCATTACTGATCAGTATGTCCATGTAGGTCTTTACTCACATATAATACCCTCTGAGAAAGCAAAAAAAAATGCTAAACCCCAGCAATACAAAAGAATATTACTTCTAATAATAATATAGTAATAGTCAATTTCTCCTGGCATGACAGTGTTTTACTTACTTCAGCTATGGTCCAGGGGGCCAATCTTGCAAAGGCTTGACCATATGAGTCACTTCACTGTCATGAGTAAGTCTATTGAAGCTGACAGGGTTGCTCGTGTGAGTAAATGATTCATGCATAGGTCCCTCCAGCGTAAGCCCCCACTGCATTCCTTCAGTTGTTTAAGACTATCCCCTCCCAACACTGTGTGAGGAGGGTAGTTTTCTATCATCTACAAAGCTGGGTGAATTGCCTAGAACACTGCAAAGTGAAGGTCATGTGTGTGTTTTATTTGCTCTATTGTTCCAGGTCCGTTAAGGTCTATAATGAAAGATCTGCATTCAGATGATAATGAAGACGAATCAGATGAAGCAGATGAGAATGACAATGATTCTGAGGTGGAACGACCAGTAAATACTCGAGGAGGAAGCAGGAGTCGCAGGTGTGTGTCTTGTGATTGCAAGCGGCCTGGTGGCCAAGATGTTGAACATGTTAGTAATGTGGTGAGGTTCTCAAAGAGCACTGAGTAGCAAATGGACAGAGAATTCAGACTCTCTTTTTAAAGCATATGCATGTAAAAGTGCCTCTTCTAAAAACTAACAGAATTAGCCATTCACAATACAAACTATTTCTGTACTAATCCATATGGTTATGATGATTCTTATTTATTTGACTTTCCTTGATTTCATGCCATTGTGACTTCAGGGGAGTAGTCATAATTACTCTCTGGCATAAATGAGATAAAATTAAGTCCTTCAATTGCCAGATGAGCTATTCAGTACATAGCATCTCGTTTTCAAGATCTCTCTGCTTACCAGTTTCAGATTAGGTTGTTAAATTGGATCAGAGTCAATGACATTTGAATTTCAAGCAATTTTTGCACTACATGCAGTAGGTGATGTGTAAAAGTGCACAAAGAAGGTAAAGCAAGCATCTGTCACAGAAATTACTTTTTTAAAAATGCCTCTGCATCCTAGCTGCAATCCAAGATGCCACTCCAAAAATCATCTGTTCTTCGGGCAGCCCAAAACTCCATCTGAATGTTGTTGAAGGTTATGTAAAACCTGAAACAGCCTCTCCAGAACCTTTTTATAGTGGGTTCTTTATCTGATCCACAGGGTTTTGCTGTGACTGTACAGCACCTGAGTGCCAGTGTCAGCTACTGCTTAAATGGGAAGGTAATAGGAGAACATTAATGAATATCGCCTGTTTCCCTGCTGCATGTTAGCAACTGGAATCAAGAAGAAAAAGACCAAGATGACAAGCAGTTTGATAATTTGTTTATGATGTCAGTGATTGTATAAGAGTTTGTCTCAGGCTCAACTTGCCTCTAAGTGTGGAGATTTTGTTTCAGTTTTTTAACAAAACCTTAAGGCTAATGTTTTTCTACTTTCTTTTTATCCCAAATAACTTTTTTTTTTCTTCCGACAAATATATATTCTCTGTTCTTCCTAAATAAATGAAGGGTGAGGCTGGCTAGGAGCTTAGCTTTTCATTCTCCTGAGATACTAAGGTTTTAAACTTTAGCCAGGAAAGAGTGTTATTTATGATGAGAAACAAGGAACTTTTCAGTGAAACACTTGTCCAAGTGGGAAGTGTAGCTGTTGAGAAAGCTTTTAGAAGAGCAGAGAAGTATCTCTGAAAAACATTTTCCTCCTTCCACATGGCTGTGAACCAAAATACGGACTGGCTCCAGGAATGTTGGGAACAGCAGTTTAATGTTCTAAATATTTCACTGTTTCTGTAACGTTAGCTGCTGTTAACCAGACATGCCATCTCAGCCAAGTGCAGCAGAGGAAGACAGCCTCGTCCATGCTATACGGTGTTTTTTCCATAGTGTGGCTTTGCTCAGATGCCTCTCTGCCATGTGGCCTTGATTATTCATGGCTTCCTTAGTGAGGGGTCATTCTTAGTGTCCTACCACAATATGCAAGCTCGGTTCACCCCTGTTAACAGCCTTTTGTCTGGAGGTGTAATCTCTTGACTGTTTTTCCATAGGGTTAGCCTGAGTGATGGCAGTGACAGTGACAGCAGTTCAGCTTCCTCACCACTACATCATGAAACAACACCACCTTTACTGAAAACCAACAGCAACCAGGTAAGGTCAGGATTTGTAAATACAGTCCTGGGGAGATGATAGTGACATTCTGGTTATTTTAGTGCAGTTACTTAGTCTGTAAACTGACATAAGAGTTGGGGTTTTTTTTTCAGGAGAAGGAGAAGTATTTGGTGTAGCCAATACCATAGACCAAAGTAATGTTTTCATCATTATTTTAATAAATGTGTCCTTTCTATATGAATTTGCTTCATAAGGTAAACAACGCAAACTGGCTTTACAGCATCAGTCCTACAACTGACACAGGTCTGGGTTTGTGTTAGCAGTAGACAAGGTTTGCATCAATAGGCTCCTTTTCAGGAGTTCGTTCACCTTGTTCTCTATCCTCCACTGGTGTATCTAGGAGATACAATATGTTTTACTTCACTGGGAGACATAATAGTTTTTACTTCACTGTCAGACTAGTTATCCCTTATCTGTAAGAGCTAACATTATTAATATTGCTGAGATAAGAAAGTAGAGTAGTTCTGGTTTTCAGAGAAAAGAAATTAAATAATGTAGAGCTACAAAATACCACAGGGACAGGTAAAAATTAGAGTTTGGGAGTTACCTCACCCCTAGTCACCAATAAAATACAGTTCTCTAAGTATAAAAATTAAACATAAAAACTGATATTCCTTAAAAATAATTGTAACTTGTCACTTATTTTAGGGAGCCATAATTTGCTCCCAGTGTCAGTGCCAGCTGGATCATACACAAAGCAGTCATGAAATTCACTGACTGGCAATAAATGGCTGCTTACAGTATTGTTAGAATAGCGTCTGCCAGTATTAACAAAAGTTTGTGGTTTAGAAGGTGAGTTTTATGGAGGAGTCTTTCCTATATCTCTTAGGTTAACTGCTTCAATTATCTGGCAGAAATTATTTACTTGCCATTGTTTTTCTAATAAAATTTCCAATACAAGCTTACTGATAGTGCAAGGACAAACATTATTCATGTCAGTTAAGTTCAGAAACACCATGGAGAAAAAAATCCTAGGGTTTAGTGTTTTTCACAGAGAGAGGAAGGAGATTACATGTCCAGAAAGCATTCTTATTATCCACTAAAAACTCTGAACTCTTTTTAAAGTTGATCTGTACAAAAGTTAAAAGTTTTTAAGAGAGAGTCCTTTGTGAAAAAAGCAAACTATGAAGTTAGAAAATATTGCATTTCCTGGAGACACAAACACAAGAAAAATAAAACTACTTTTCTGTGGCTTGTTGTTTATGAAGACTTAACTTCTACAGATGCAATGTAATTGTAGACACTCCAAATAATAGCAGCCTGCCAGCTAAAATTGTATGTCACATACTTTCTTCCATTTTTATAATTGAGCTGAAAATCAGAAATTTAGGGAAGCATTATAAGAATTTAAACTGTATAGACCATAACCACATTTGAAATCACTGCTTGGTAGCATAGTGCTGCTTGACAGTATGATGCTTTAGACTGATGAAATCAGGCTTGTATTGACTAAGTCCATTCATAGAACTAAAGAGCTAAGACAGAGTTAATATTCCTATATGCTTCTCAGATGTGATTAGTGCTGTGTTTTATCTAAACAAGAGCGCTTAAGATGTTAGATTTCAACTACACATCAAGAGAAAGGAACTACACTACACTGTAAGGAAGCAACTTCTTCAAATATACCATGTCCTTTCTAAGGTTCTATTTGAAACCAAGAATTTTCTTCTTTTAAAAACAAGGAAAGCATCTAAAAGGCATTGGATCCATGCCTAGAGGTCCACTTTTTTTCAAAATTAGTTTTTCTTCCACTGGCCTACACAGTGGAAATAACCCCAGGGGGTGTTGAATCAAAGAATCGGGATTTTTCTTCAGAAAAGTATGTTTTGCTTTCTGGCCATGCATTGCTCTTGCCTAAATAAATTCTTAGGTAAGGTTAACTCAGATATACAGTCATTTTCCTGTAAAGGGAAATAGCTGCCTGCCTGCTGTATTCTTATGGTGCCGATCACACTGAGGAACATACATGCAGTTTTAGTAATTTATGCCAAGGGAAGCAGAAATGAAAAGGGACTTACAGAAAGCTGATATTGCTAGTGTAGGTATACTTGCTAGTGTAAGTATATTGCTAGTATAGCATCTTGCTATATACTTGCTTTTATAGGCCTTACTTCCTTGGTTTATTTACTGAGTTTTGTCCCATGTTGAGACTGTCCAGTGTGGTTTTGAAGATAATCATGCGAGTGATTTTAGTCTCTCTTATAAAGAAATGTGAAACAAAATCTCCCATCGTCTGTGATCATTTATTTTCCTTTGATGTTTTTCAGAAGAACTGATCATATTCCAGGTTGGGAATGGCATGGTGATTTATTTTTTCAAACTCTACTTTTAGCGTCAAAAAAATGTGTGTTGTGTGTGAAAAAATTGGAAGAACAATGAACAGTTCTGTTTCCCCCAAATATTCCTCACTGTAGTCCTGAAATTTTCATATTAAGCATGGTGTTCTGCTGTTTGTTGACATTCTGCTCTTCTTGACTGTGGTTCAGTACTGGATGAAGCATTCTTGGTTTGTATATATGGTAGTAAATGACTTTGTGTGGCACTGAAGGAAGGGTACTGTATAAGTGCAAGAGAAATTACTGTCAAGTATCTTTTTTTTTTTCCAGTTACAACTGATGCAGTAATTTCAAAGATTACATTTCAAATTCTCTACTCAAGAAGAAAAGAGACAGCATTGAGGGGGGAAATAACAGGAAAAATATATTGAGCATGTGACATTTCAAAGGCACCGGAGAGTACCTCAGCATCATTTTGTATCTGCAAAAATCAGACCTCTTACCTCAGCATGCAAAAGATACAAAAAATTGTTGAGGAGGCTTTAAATGACATAAGTAAAGTCTCTTAAGGATTAATAATATCAATGTCACCTCATTCCAGCAACTCAGCATTTTCTGCTGTAAGCTGCTTATTTTCTGAAAAATATGAGTAGGTTGTATGGATTAATGAATCAAAAGCTCAGTTTTGAGTTTGAATCACATTTTCTCCAGATGTTGTATTCTGTACGTTATTAACCTATAGCAGAATTTTTCGTATGTAATGGTATCCAGTGATGCATTTAATTTTTAAACAGGATTTTCTGTCTTTTCCAGATTTTAGAAGTGAAAAGTCCAATAAAGCAAAACAAAACTGATAAACAAATAAAGAATGGGGATTGTGATAAGGTAAATGACAATGAGGTAACAGTAAACTGGTCCAGAATGTCCATCTTTGCTTTGCATTCCTTAAGCTGCAGATCTTTCTCTTTTTTTTTTTTTTTCTGTAATTCTTTCTTCTGTCCTATTTTGAAAGTCTTTTACTTCTCCTCAGTACATGCGGTGATTTGCTGAATGTCAGGAGTTGGGAATCTGCCATCTATTATTTATTTTATCTACTCTCCACCAGAAGTTTGCATTGCGCTTCACAGATGAAGTGATAATTTTTGAAGAGGAGAATTCATGGCAGTATTCCTAGCCAGTAAATCCCTCAATTTAAGAAATGTATATATTTCCCAGAATCCTTTCTGAGGGCTATGCATTAGGAAGTGGCAGTGTGATTTAGCATGTTAACTAGAATGATATGAAACAACAAACAGTGACCATTTAACACTGAGAAAGACACGTTTGTTTAAAATCATGCCAGCTGGCCATGGGTAAGAGCTCTAAGTCCTTGTGTGAGTGAGCATAACACTATTTCCCAGAGTGAACAAGTTTCTCTGAAGGCTCATATTTTACAGGTATTAGTGGCAACCTTATGATAACACGAGGCAGGAGACCAAAGTTTCAGTATATGTTGCTAGATTTTCAGTGGCCTGATCCAAACACTTTTTGGTTTCTTAAGCTGGGTGCTGTATCTTTCTCTGCTTAAAAGGAAAAAGGGTTTCTGATGGCTCAGGCTGAAGGAGAAAATTGATAATTGGGTGGAGAGGTGGGACAGGTTTGACACCCCAGGAAGGAGCACAGTGGAATTTACCATTGGATTAATCTTGCTTGATCTTTCTGCCCTTATCTCTTTGTTGATACAGAAAATTAATTATGTAGCTTTAGAGAAAAAGAGGGATTTGATTGTGAGCCTTTGGGTCTTATGTGAGGGAGGTGTTTTTCAAGATGCTGTTTTGGCAACCTCACTCTGTTTGATACTTTTTGCCACAGTTGAGATATAGATGTTACCTCTTACAACAAAGGACCATCTAGTAAGATTTCCATCAGCATGAAGTATCAAAGAAAACACGTGCAATCTTATATTTGGGTTGTATGAAACTAGAGAAAGCCAAACTACTAAATCAGAAAATTTAGCTCAAAGAAGATTTAAAATAAAATTTCCATTTGTATTGTTTTTGAAGACATCTGAAGTTTTTGAAATACATAGCTATGATTTAATTAACAAACTGTTTATGGGGGGGGATTTGTTTCTAGGCATATCTTGATGAACTAGTAGAGCTCCACAGAAGATTAATGACATTGAGAGAGAGACATGTACTGCAGCAGGTGAGGAGCACTCTCATGCAATATCACAGTGTGCTCACTGAAATTGTAAAGTCACATCTTTTTTTTTTCCCTTCATCTAAAACTCTGTAATGAAGTTTAATAGCCTTCAAGCCTGTATAATTCATTTACAGCCCATTACCAGTGCAGCTTAGGGAATATTTACACATACTTTAAATTGTGTTGTGGCACTAAATGACAATTTTATTAAAAAATGCCTGTCTATGTGAGCTAAAATTCTCACTATTTCATTGTTATGTTTCTCAAAATACTGCATCAATAATAATGAAAACAGGATGGGAGAATGGATATGGCTCTGCACCATGACTTGATTCAAGTCTTGCTTCTTTTTCCTGAAAATGACCAGCATTTTCTCAGAAACAATTAAAGGTGTTTTCAATGGCAAACAGAAAACATGGAATTAAAAGCAAAGCTCACTTTGGGCAAAACCACAATCTATTCACTGAGTCTTCTCAAGTCATGGAAGAAGTAAAATGTGAAAATGCACAAATGAAGAATGCTCCAAATTTATTGAAAGGTTATGTAATAGTAAGAACAAAGACTAGTATTCTTTGGTTTGGGTGTTTATTGTCAGGTACTATTGGATTACAAATTGTGAAGTGCTGTTAACAAAGCAGATGTAATTGTTGCACAGATGGTTTTATTATGTTTAGCACGATTATGTGTCAGTTGTGGACATGTTGTGAAGAGGGAAATTTTTAACACTTGTAAGTGATTGCAATCACTCATCAAATTTCTCAACACTTGGATAAGCCTGTTAAAAATATTTTGTACGCCCCAGCATTAGTCTGTTTATTAGTTCAGGCTCAATATTGTGAGTTAAGAAAAGAAAACTACTGAGAGATCAGTCAAAAGGAAGACCTTGGTTAAGGATATTCTTAGTTAAAGAAGAATTCTTAGAGCTTTGTCAGATTTCGTAAGTTACAATATAAAATGACACATATTAATTATACTTCATATTTAATGTACTGTTGTTTCCCAAGTTCCCTTTTGTCTACAAAGGGGATCAAAGCACACTTTCACATTTGTGGCAGAGGCAAATTTTTGTCTACATTTGGAAATTACTGTGCAGGAGGCTGAAAGGTAGGAATTGCAATGCGCTTTCCGCTTTATGTTACTCATTTTTTCTTAGAGAGTTCACTTAAAAAATTAACCTGAAAATGCTACTGTGCTGTAAATTCGTGCCCTGGCTTTGCTTGCGGAGCACTTAATTTCCCAGTGGTCCAAGGGAAAGCCTTTGAATGGTCTCACTTCTGGTAGACCTCGGTAGGCAGTATTAGGCAGTTACCAGCTGTCAGAACAGAACTGCCCCCTGTCCCAGCCTGCACAGTCCGCCCATCGATCCAGCTTCCACTGGGGCTCTTTTGACAGCCCACAGAGCGTAGGGCTTAGGTGGCTTCATGTGAAATTTTGGGAAAGAAATAACCCAACCGCTTGGAAGCCTTTTCTGCAGGGCGAAGATGAAAACGATTTTTTTTTTCCCCATGAGGGTGGTCTAGCAATGGAACAGAGTCCTGGAGAGAGTGTGCTGTCTTCAACCTTGGAGCTTTTAAAAACCTGACTGGATAAGCTTGGAACAGTCTGATCTGACCCCGCAGCTGAGCCTGCTGTGGGCAGGAGCTGGGACTAGCAAAACTCCTTCCAATCAGAATCCTCCTGTCATCATAAGAAATATTTTCCAAGCAAATAAGATGGTTCAAATTGAATCCATAATCCTCTTTCTCATCTAGTAACATTTAAGTGTATTTGGTGAGGAATAGATACTTAGCTTTGTTAGAAAAACAATGGGTTTGCCCACTTAAGCTTCTTCAGTCTGATGTCAGAGTACTGTTATAATCTGCTTCATGAGAAGTTACTAACACAAGGGAAAACTGTGTGAAAAGAGACATAACTGAGATGGAAATTGAGTATCCTATTCTGAGTAAATGAAAAAAGAACAGTATATTCTTGTGCCTTTTAAACTAAAGATAGACGTTTTGTTTTCACCTGAGTGTATTTATCAGACAAGAGAAAACATTAAATCATTGACCTTTGCCTCACACCTTACTTGAAGAGTATTGTTTTAATACTTGTAGTCCATAAATTCTCATAGCGTAATGTTTAATTAGAGATGTTGTAAAAGTTAGGTTGATGTAGGATTGGTGTTGCCTTGCTTCCTGGGGGACTGTTCTTGAAGGTTGTTTCCCTTGTTTGGAGTGTACAGCCCCAGTGAAGGCTGGATTTATGGCTGGATGGTGCAGGCCGGGACGGTGGGGCAGTTCTGTTCTGGCAGCTGGTAACTGCATGAGGCTGATACAGAGGTCTCCAAGAGTCCCATGGAACAGCCAAGTTACTTACCAGTTGTCTGGTAGCCAGCCTGCACTAGCAAACAGTCTATGCTGTTATAAAAGAAATAATGCAGTTTGGTTTTAAAGGCTTTAATCCCTTAATATTCTGCGTCTGATTTCATCAGTTTACAGAAATATGTTTTCACAATATTGAATGGATAACTTTACAGAGAATCAGTGCTTCTCTGCATTACAAATAAATTGTCATCCCATCTTAAATGTCCTTACTGCTTTGCAGCTATGTAATTAATGAAAAATATTTCCAGTGAGCACAGAATAAAAAGAGTACAGAGCTGAGGAAGTTTTTAGGAATGAACGGGACACTCCTGGACCAGGAAATCCAAGTATGTAGAGACTATAAGTACAAGGGTCAGAAGAGCAAGGAATAAAACTGCAGAAGGGGATGGTGGTTAGTATATGAAAAGAGGGATTGAGTGCAAAAATAGACAACAGAAAACTGTGAATAGCTGCAAGAGCTTTAAAGATGATGGCAGTGTTGAAGTGGTATGGTGGTGGAGTTCTGTGTTGCTGAGTGGTGATTGTCATCTCTTTAGTTTGTGTCAGGGCAGGTAGTAATCCCTTGCACATCTCAAAGTCTGCTGCCCACAGACTTTTAGGGAATTTTTAGAGAAAGGACTTGGAAGAGAAGAATGAAGGCACTGATCATTCAAAAGCACTGGCTTTTGAAACTTATGCTGAGGGATGTGAAAAGGAGAGGACAGGTGTTTACAATCTCAGTTGTTACCATGTCCATAGCCATGACAGCAAACAGGAATGCCGCCGACTTGGAAATAAGAAAAATGTGTCTGAGAATGTGGCTCTTTCCCAAGAGAGGCATTTCTCTTCAAGACACTTTGCTAAAGGAAGCTGAAATAAATCCACAAAAAAGAGGGAGGAGGCAGGGTAGATGTGATACTGAACTGCAAATGCCTGGATGTGTAGCTAAGTAATCCTGATGTAAAATGATACTTAGATAAGAATTGCCCAAGAGGGAGAAGGCAGGTGTGAAAGAACATTTGACCAAGAAATTAGTCCTCTGAGAATCACCTGGGCAATTTTTATGTGAATATTCAACGATGGCTAGACGCAAATTGGTCTGAAATTACATTTTAAAAAGAAATCTCTCTCCCACCTCTTTCATTGTAAAGAAAAGGTTTAGGATTTACAGTGATTACAGTGATTTAAACTCTGTGATTTGCAGGGAAATAGTAGGGATAACTGAGCCTGCAGTCAGATGTTAATGCTGCATGTCCCATATGTTCAAATTTGGCTGGCTAAAGCTGGGTTCATAACTCTGCATTTTCAGTGCAGATGATGTCAGCATGACCCCATGAAAGGCAACAAGATTTCTGCAAAGATGGTCTCTCATTTGCGGCATCAGAAGTCATATCTTCAGCTGGTGAGAAATCTCCTTAAAGCCAGTGCACTAGATAGCACAGGCATAAGGAAGAAATTGAGAGTATACAGCACTGCTGAAAATTACATTGCTCTTGTCCACGAGGTGCTTAACTTCAGATGGCAGCTATCTTCCAAGAATTTTCTGCAAGGGGCAGCTCACAGTTCTGGAAACTATCAAATGGCCTAAAACCCTCCATAAATTGAAAAATGACTATGTCATTAGTTGCACTTTGGCTTCCTTAAACACACATACTCATTTGCTTGTTTAAAGGCAGATAAATAGTTGTACTGTGATGGATAATGATGAAACTGAGCTGGAGGGACATTATGTAAACAGAGATGTACATTACAGCAGAAAAACAAAGCTTACTACAGCAGGAACAAATGGGATGTTTTTGTTCTTTGCAGCCTGAGCTCACTGAAGAAAACATTTTAATGCTGTGTTTTTAATATTATAACTGCCAGACTTCCTGACAACTAATCTCAAACTTTTATTTCTTTTCAAGTATTTCTGAGTAGCATAAGTATGCGTATGCTAATACTGTAAGTCACTGGTTCCTCGTTGCCTGGCACACAGGCAGGTGTTTTTCATTGAGCTGTTATCTTGATACATTTTTGTACATCCATTAAAACTTTTGGGGTTCATTTCAGTTTGGTTCACCAGGTGCCCTGACATAGTGGCTATATTTCCTGGGGGGTGGATGATGGATATGTTTAAAATGTTTATGCTTCCCTTGGCCTAGCGCTTAAAAGCCCAACACAGAACCTGATCAATAAAAGTGCTTATCAGTTTTTGAAAATACACAGTGCTGTTTAGAAATGTGGTAACACTTTTATGTAATCTTTGTTTCTAAAATCACATATATTGCTGTGGGAGTTACGAGGTGTGGTATTCTTCCACTGTAACGTAAGGCAGTGTTACAATTGTTCAGTGTAGCTACATCTTCCTGACCTCGGCCTCTGTAAACTGCTTGTGCAGCCATTTATTTATCACACACACGGATATCTGGAGACCAAGCCTGAGACACACTCCTAACTTTACAGAAGGAGGCTGGTCTGACTCCTTAGCTTCTCTTTTAGATGATGCTCAAGAGAATGCTAAAAATGAGAATGACAAATAACACATAGCAAGTTTTTGTTCTGGTAACAATCAATTTAGTCCCATTTGATTTTTTTTTCCCCTCTGGTGTTAATTGCAGAACAGTAGGTGATGGAAAAGTGTTACAAGAATCTGTGAACCAACAAGCGGACAAATAAGTTCACAATTTTATATTAAAAATTCCCACATAGAAAGAAAATTAAAGCTGAGAGGCACAGATTTAAATGAAGTGTTAATAAGAGCAGGATTGTTCATAAGTACTTTCAAAATTTTGAACAGCTGCAAACCAAATTAAACAGATTTTACTTTTCTTTTTTTTCCAACTGGGAAAAGGGAGATTTTTACTGTAATGGGCATTTCCCTCTTATTATTTTATCTTGTTTCCATTCCGCTTAGTCCACTTGGGCTGTGTCATTCCATGCCTGACAATACACATGAGGTTATTTCATTTATCATCAACATAGTCTTTTCTTCAGTGGTCTAAGGAGAAAGAACACCTGCTTATATAATGAAACGGGGAGCAGAAAATCGCAAAAGATTTAGTTTAAATTCATTGTAGTTTTTCAAGTTGGTATATTCCTACCAGATTTGTCATTTTAAGGTACACTTTGTAATCCATATGTGCATACTTCTGTATCTCCTCTGTCTGTGGAAAAGGAATTACAATCAGAGTAATAAAGCTCAAACAAGCAAGGAATATATAGCAGTGGCATTTCAATGGAGCCGTAGTGGAAGCCCTAGAACAAAATAAGTTTCAAACTGAAAGGTGCAAACAGGATATTGAGCCTAGCCTGAGTGGCGCAGAAGGACTGAGCAGGAGAGCCATGTTGTGCCAGTCCAAGACACTACCCTTCGATAGTGTCCCGCTTCAGGATGGGGTGCCTTTCGTTGTGCTCCCATGGGATATCTGTCGTTTGGAGTGAAACAGTGCATGGGAGATGCCTAGCCATGGTGTGTTGGCAGTGCCTTAGCCCTGTCTGACAACGCTTTGGCTTTCCAAGATGCTGAATGGGTTTTTTAGGTAGGTGCACATCCTAGAACTTAATATATCTGGAGTGAGTTGTTACAGCAATTCAGTGTTGAGTATGACCACTCTTTACAAACACAGACTACAATTCAGAGACTAGAAATGTCAAAACTGCAGAAAAGCACAAGTTACATATGTGCTGTTGATTTCACAGAATCAGAGAATGAATAGAATCATTGTAGTTGGAAGGGACCTCTGGGTCATCTGATCCGACCCTCCCCATGCTCAAGCGGGGACATGTAGTACCAGTTGCCCAGGACTGTGTCCAGATGGCTTTTGAGTATGTCCAGGAATGGAGACCCCGTAACCTGCCTGGGCAACCTGTGCCAGTGCTTGGTCACCCTCACAGGAAAAAGGTGTTTTCTGATGTTCAGAGAACCTTCATGTCACCAGGCAGAACTGGAATGAGCCTGGCTCTGTCTTCTTTACACGCCAGCATACACATTGATGAGATTCCCCCTGAGCCTGCTCTTCTCCAGGCTGAAGAGTCCCAGTTCTCTCAGCCTTTCCTCACAGGAGAGACATTTTAGTCCCTATTCTTCCCAGGAACTCCTAACAACTCTTATGTTTCCTGTTTGAATGAAATCTGTGGCTGTAGATTAATCACCAGAGGAAGGGATCTTATGCCACTGTTAGGAGTCTTTCATGATTAATTTGTTTTAAAAAAGAAGTACTCAAGAAGTAACTGCTAGTATGTGACTAACAGTTGATGTGAGAGCTCTTGAATACATTTTTTGTTTGATATGGACTAGATTGTATAAGGATTTATTTATTTCCCTTGCTTGCACAAAGACTTATGCCAAGTTTTTTTGTTAAGTAACCTGCTTAGCAGCTATGCGCACAATAATATTCCAGCTGGAGATCTCCCTGGGTTTTTAATTGTTTGGGCTTGAATGGGGTGAGGAGGTTGCTCTTGGGTTTTGTTGGGTTTTTTTAAAGACTGAATTAGAAAATATGCAAATTTTCTTCTAACATATGAAAAATATATTCTCAATGGTTCAATAGTAATGTTTGCTGGAATGGCAGATGGTTAAGCTCGCGCTATGGTTGATGATGATCTAAAGAAAACTTGAGGTACTGTAGTCTGCGCTGTAGTTTGTGTCAGAAAAGAAGTGAGTGACAAGGATGACTGTTGAACCTGCAAGCACTGGGGCAATTGGCCTTGTTTTATGCCTTTCATGTGATACTTAGTGGCATGTTAATACATTCAGTGGCCCTGTAAAACTGCTGAAATTTTCAACTGCATCTTTTTTTTCCTTTCAGATAGTGAATCTTATAGAAGAAACTGGACACTTTCACATCACAAATACAACCTTTGACTTTGATCTTTGCTCACTGGACAAAACCACGGTCCGTAAACTACAGAGTTATCTGGAAACATCTGGAACCTCCTGAGGATTCAGCATCTGGCTGCATTAAAAACCGTTCTTTAAATGAGACATTCAGAATTATTCAACCAACATGGCGGGGGGGGGAGGGGACAAAACAACCCTCTTCTGCTTTATTTTTCTTTAAAGCCAGTCATCATCTCTTGATAAGGGAGAGGAAAAGCGATAAGACTCAGAGGACCACTCTTCTCAAGAAGAAAATGCTCTGGAAGTTTGCCTGGATAGCCTTGAAAAACCAACACACAAAAATCAAACAAAAAACCTTGGTCTTAATGAATGTGTATGGTATCATGTATCTCTCTGTGTGGTGTTCCAGTCCACAAGATGAATGCATGTTCAGCACACTGCCTTATTACATAACTGATCTATTTATTATTGCATACATGTATTCTAAAGCCCAATGAGTCATTGAATGACACTACCAGATGTTGCAAGTAGTGGGGTCCCATCTGTGCTCTTTTGATGCAGTACTATCACGAGCCTAATAACCTTATTCATCCTGAAATGCCACTTCTTGCTATCTTTCTCTAGTCACTTAAAACACTACAGTGTTTTAGCACTTCCACAATTCCAGGAAACAAGATACAAAGTTGGGGATCAAAGAGTGGTCCTATATTTTGTTACCCATCTGCTATGGTGGGTTGGACCACAGAAGGTTGGACCGCAGGTCCTTGGCTCAGTCCATTTATTGATCTTGACCATTTTCTTGGTAGAAGATGCACCAAATAGGTTTGTATGACTTGCTGTCTAGCCTTAGTGAATAAACCAGTAGGACTTTTAACAAAAAATGTTATGTATACTGTCCTGAATCCAGCATTTTTTGCAGTCTTACATTCTTGTGTCTGTTTCAATGTTATAAAATTAAATATATATGAGTGAAGGTGTTCTGCAGGATCATCATAAAAGGGGAAATTCTGGTCCTGTCTTCTAAAGAAATGTTGTAGAAAATTCTTAATTTGGAGCTATTTATTACTACAACTTTCAACCTCTGCTGCCAGGGTGTGACTCACTTTTACCATAAAACTTGCATAACATTTTTGTTTGTTCATATAGTATATGGTCTACTTACTTTATTTTGGGGATTTGTTTCTGGTTTTGTTGTTTGTTTTGGGTTTTTTTACAACTGTTAAATTAAAACCCTTTATTTGAAAAGAAGAAAATCTAGTTTTATACAGTTACATGTTGGAATAAATACATATATGATATATGGTATATATGCGTGTATATACACATATGCAGATACCTGTGTATGTGTGTATATATATACACACACATGCATATATGCTTTCTACGCTTTCTAGATTTTGGTATCTATTCAATAACCACCTTGTGTTTCCAGAAGGATTTCTTGGCCATAAAAATGAGTATTCTTTCATGCCATCCATTATTCCTTAAAATCCCTGTTGATGCATGATCAAATGAGAGGATGTGTACTCAGTTTCACATCAGTGATCTGTGCTTTCATATTGCTGATGGTTTCTTGATGAAATCATCACCTTTCCATTAGAAGTTCAAATCCCCCAATGACAAGAGAAAATAATTTTAAAAATACTTCTGGATGCAAAGGTTTATTCAGGTTTACCAGCCTTAAAAATATATCTTGTTTCTGGACAGGCCAGTATGTTGTGTGTATGCTTATATGCCACATGTAGTTTGTATGTGTAGAGCTGAACAGTAGTATCTGTATGACTTACTGTTTCATGCGCATAGTTTGTGCAGCACTGTAAAACTAAATTCCTATTGGGGTTATTTCTTATTCAGATGGTAAATCTTAATACTGTTTCTTTAAGTCCAAAGAAAATTTTACACTTTATTCTTTTTGAGTGAGCGGGATACGGATTGGGTTGGGAGGCTTTTTTCTTATTTAAAATGTCATTTGACCACACTCTGCAGGAAGTCCTTCTTAGGCTTCCCAAGAACAAGTGTACTTTTTCAGTAATGTTATGACTCTTATTGACGATTGGCATGAAGCATACTTGAAGCGTTACGTTGTTCTTTTAAGTCCGTGTCTTAATGTGCAATTGGGGAGGGAACGGGGAGTGGAGTGTAATTTTGAAGTTACTGTTGACTTAAGGCAGGTGATGGTGGGGATGGGTGCATGTGAAGGGGATAAAAGTCAATTTTTATTGATTATTTTATATGAAAATGTTTGGAAATCTAAAAGCAACCTTAAAAATGTTTGGTCTACTATTGTGTGTTCAACTTCCTATCTTTTAGTTTTACCAGATACATACAGAATTTTGTCCATTTTGACTTTTCTAACTGAATTTTGTGGTAAAAATTCATTGAGTTTAGGAGGGGAAGAATCCTATGATACTTTTAGTATGAATATTGCACTGTTTTGTTAGAAAGGGTGAAATGAATCATTTTACCCTTGAAATACTAGATAAGCTTTATTGTACACTGAGAATAGGGGTGAAAGAAAACAGCAAATGGGAGAATGGGCATAAAAGACAGACAACAGCAATTCCAGTATCAAGTTGCTGCTGAACTTCATCCAAATTTCTTGATGTGGATCATCTTTAAACTCTTAAATTTTCTAATTTGGTGGGTGACGAAAGAAGGTAAACTGCAGTTGAGTGTGTGCATGTTACGTTTTCCACAAAATTCTCATAGAGTAAGAATTACTAAGTGTTGGTCTAAATTTAAAAAAAAAATAGCTTTTTTGTCAAATTTTGTATGCGGAAGCAAAAAAAAATTCTTGTTCAATTAATTTCATTCATTCATATTCATCTTAAAATAATAATAAAAAAAAAAAGATACCCTTCCAAGTCTTTAACATATATAAGCATTGATCTTTGGGATGGGTAAAAGTGTTTTGGCAATACATGTTTTGGAGTTTTACTTAACTTCGTTTTGAATAGCCTGATGTTATATGTGAGAATTTGGATTAATTCATTGAAGTGACCAGACAGAGGTCAGCAATAAGTTGCAGTATCTAAAAATAATTTTCAGCTTAAGTGAATCACTGTTATTAGAACAGTAGTTGTATCTACTAGTAAGGACAGTTTTTGTCTTGCCACTAACTTTTCACCTCAGAAAGTTGATGTCCAGTTGGGTAGACAAGTTTTAGTATTTTTTTAGAAGTTTTAATCTACTGAGAGGTTTTACAAAAATTTCAGTATCATCTAGATTTGAAGGCTGTCTTAGTCCACACTAAAGAGAAAGAGCAACAAAGGAAGAAGAGAGATACACTGAAGCAAGGAAAGTCTTCCACGGTAAAACAAACCCCATGCTTAGTCTTCAGCCTTTGGATCATAAGAAATAGTTCATCATTTTTCTCTCTCTTCTTTTCGTTGGTTGGGTGGTTTTAGGTTAAGTCTGTTCTTTCAGAAGCAGAGTAAACACAGTACAGTGCATTTGGAGAGCCCCAGTATATTTCTATTAGTTTCTTTTAGTCTGAGGGAAGGAAATCAAAAGTTGCTGGGTTTTGCCTGATTCATTCTCCTTCTTTCCCATTCTCACAGTGAAATAAAGTTTGTTCACAATCTGGTTTGGTTCCTTGGTCCTTACTTGGTAAGTATCATCTTGTTTTCTTAAAAGCTGTTCTAGTGTTTTGGGGTCTCTTGAATGACCCATTGATTTCAGGCCTGACTCTTGTTTCAGTCTGTAGAGGGACTTGTTATTCTTGTGTTTGCTCATGGTCCATTGATTTGCACAGTTGGCTGTAGTGCAATGCACTGAAATTGAGACTTAGGATGAAAATTTTGTCAGGCTTTCAGCCATAGCAGGAGCTAGCAGGAACTGCAAAAATAAGCAGTGCCAAACATATTGCCGAGTTTAGCAAATGCAAGGCATATGTTTTTATAAGCCACAATAGTTTTCTTAATTGTGAAACAGTATAAAGAAGAATGTAGTGTACACCAGGAAGTTATTCTGTATACTGTGCGAAGAAGCCTTACTGTTGGGCATAAAAGCCTTGCGAGCAGATGATGGGGACTAAACCTCATATATCTGCAGTGCTTTTGTGTGTGCTTAGGAGTTAATCGGTGCATTAACACAACTAAACCAATAACGTTTCAAGGCTGGCTCTGTGTTAGAGTGAGCAGATAAATTAACATCAAAGCACAATCCTGTAAGGGCCTTACATTTACTGGAGCAGCCAGAAATGCCACTGTGGCTAGATAGGAAAGAGAAGTATTACCACAGTGAGAACACCACACTTGGGGGCGGGGGGCGGGGGAAGCAAACAGGGGAAAAAAAAAAAAAGAAGAGTAAAGAAGAGATCTCTTAGTTGCTGGATGTGGTTTCTTGTGTTAACATAGACAATACAGTTTGCTGGTGAGCAGTTCTGTCTGCTGTAAGATAGGGTGACAGTTTGCAGAGTGGCACCTTCTCTAGTTCACTGCTGTATTGTTGCTGACTTGATCAGAGAGGAGTATCGCAGCATCATACAAAACTCTAAGCTTGTCTTACGGTTTGAAATGCTAATGTCTGCTTAGCATTGGCTTGAATATATCATCTTATATTCTGTTTTACCTCAGCCAGATAGATTTTACTGCAAAGTGATAATCTTGATTCTTCATCTACTTTTCATTTTTCTGTTCAAAAGTTTAAGCAAAGTCAAATGTAGGTCTGTGAATATGGCAGAAGATGTATTTTCTTCATCATCATTCAGTATAATTGTGACTGGAAGGAACCCTTTCCTGAATGTTACATCAAATGGATCATGCATTTTTCTATGGTCCTTCAGAGGACTGAAGCTATAAAGCTGAAGTTTTCATTAGTAAACTTTGCCGTTCTCATCACAGGAATAAATGGTTACCTTATATCATTGCTCACAGAGAGACAGAATTCAGGGTCTGGGTTCTGTTTAGGAAATAGCAGGTTTGTGAAGCTGTCAGTTACACCTTTTTAGTAAGACCTAGAAACGAAGCCTATCTCTGAAGAAGGGGAGGAAAAATCCACTAAAGTATTTTCACTCTGATAAAGGTGTTTTCTTCCCCAACAGCTGTATTCCCCTTTCAAATCTTTAAGCATCTAATGGCCAGTAGAGAAACTGCACACAAACCATTAAAAAATCAAAGGTATTGAAAAGGTAAATGAAAAGTTGTATTAAAAGCCTGCCTGCGCAAGTAATAAGGTCGTAATGCTGACACTGCTTTCACTGCAGGGCAGACATTGCTAGCACATGTGGTTTGTGGATCCACGTCTGAGTGGGTGGTCTAGAAAACAGCACAAAATGCCGCAGGAGGGCTTAGTTTTTGAGCAGTCGAGAGGAGACATTCAGGATAGGCTGAGCCAGCACCACCCGAGCTATCCAAGATAAAGCAGTTTTCTTTCAGTTTCATGAGCAGCTAAGCTTTCACTTTGTCTATTCATCTAAATATCTGAATTATTTTTTTGCCACTATGTTAGTCCAAGTCCTGCGGTGAGGTTATTTTAATGTGGTTTTACTTCCTTTGGGCAGGACATAAGATATAAGTGGAACATAGTAGTAATTTCTCTTTTATTATTATTTTTATTTTCTAGTTCTGTCCAACAACTATAAGAATTTGAAATGTTTTCCTCCAAAAAATCTCTTACACGTGAGAAGAACTTAATACTGCTTTCATTAGTGTGACTTTTTTTTAGCACAGTGGATAAATTAAGATGAAGCTTCTGTGAAATTGTACACATCTAAGATTAGGATGTAGCTTGAAGGAGCGCTTGATGGTCTGTTGGACCACTGCAAGCAGCGCAGCCTAGAAATGTTATTTTTATGTTTATTGTAGAAATATGTGAATAAATCTATCTCAGCATGTGTAGCAAGTGAAGTGATTTAAGTACTCAATTATTTTTTGACTGTCTCTTACCTAAGCTCCCTTGGACATCTGCCTGCCACCTGTGTAAAAATGATTTATTATGAGTGTCTGCTCACTTTTCTGTGCTCAACAGCCCTTTATCTTTGCATTATCACAGATATTAGCATTGGGTGGCTAAAGTGGGCACTTGCTACTGTATTGCAATTGTGCAACAGAATTCTGCAGTGCCTTGCTTTAAGTTGAATTATGTTCATGATTAGCCACAATGTTGGTTGCTCGATATTTTCTTTATCCTTTACTCTGCAGTTACAGATATTATTTTTTTTTATTTGTAGAGAGAATTGTTCTCTCTCCATCTGTTAAATGTCTTTCTGGTTCACATTGTTAAACTAGTTAATAAGACATCAGGACTCAAACTCTTCCCTTGATATTGTGATGAATCAGACAACTGCCGAACTTTTCATGGCCTAAGTCAATACTGACTATATAGTTTCTTCTTCAAAAGGAGTTAAAGCAGGGAAAGCAAGATTGAGTCTGTTTTACAAAATTGTTGAGGTTGAAAGGGACCTTGGGAGGTCATCTGGTCCAACCTTGTGGTTTCGCCATGCAAGGGGCTTTTGCCAAACTCTTGGGGAATCTCTTGATATTGGGCCTTTCTCATGCACTGAGTGGCAAAGTAAACTAAATGTTGCTTTGGGTAAGAGAGGCACACTCTTATAAAACTTATGTCACTGTTCCTTTAAGAACAGGCTCTTTTTTTCCTGGATAAGGAGTTTTACTCCAAGGACCGAACCTGCTACAGATCTCCTTCTATTAACAGTAAATGGAAATAATTTTAAAGGAGCCTTTTCAACAATTTAGATATACTGCCTTACAGTCCAAATGCACTTAGTTGACTGTGAATTTTATACTAATGATAATGTTTATTTTATATAATTATTAATGCATATACTGTATCATAGAATCACAGAACATTTTGGGTTGAGATGGACCTCTAAAGATACATAGTCCAAACCCCCTGCCACAGGCAGGGTCATCTTTCACTAGATCATCCAATCTGATCTTGAACATTTCCAGGGATAGGGCATCCACAGCTTCTCTGGGCAACCGGTTCTAGTATCTCACCACCCTCATTGTAAAAAAAAGTTTTCTTCCTTATGTGCAATCTAAATCTGTGCTGTTTCAGTTCAAAGCCATTGCCCTTGTCCTCTCACTTACAGGTCCTGCTAAAGTTTTACTCTGTTTTTCTCATAAGCCTCTTTTATCTGTTGAAAAGTCTCCATTGGAACATTGTCTTCTCCAGGATAAATAACCCCAGCTCTCTCAGTCTTTCTTCATAGGAGAGGTGTTTCAGCCCTCTGGCCTTCCTCTGGACCTGTGCTAACATGTTCGTATCTTTCCATGTGCTGAGGGCTCCAGAGGTGGATTCAGTACTCCAGGTGGGGTTTCACAAGAGCAGAGCAGACGGGCAGAATCACGTCCCTTGACCTGCTGGCCACGCTTCTTTTTATGTAGTCCAGGATATGGTTGGCTTTTTGGGCTGCAAGCACACATTGCTGGGTCATGTCCAGTTTTTTGTATGCCAGTAGCCCCAAGTCCCACTCCACATGGCTGATCTCAATCAGTTAACCTCCTAGTCTGCATTGATACTAGAATAAGGGAGTTGCCCTTACCCACATGCAGGACTCTGCACTTGGCATTGTTGAACCTCATGAGGTTCCTCCTCAAACCTGTCAAGGTCCTTCTGGATGGGATCCCTTCCCTCAAGTGAATCTACTGCACCACTCAGCTTGGTATCATTAGCAAACTTGCTGAGTGTATGTTCAATCCCACTATCTAGCTAGATATTAAGTAGTATTAGTCCTGGTACAGACCCTTGAGGTACACTATTTGTTTCTGGTTTCTACTTGGACACTGAGCCACTGACTATGATCTTTCCACTTCAGCAGCAAGAGTGTTATGGGAGACTGTATCAAAGGCCTTATAGAAGTCTAGGTAAATGACATCCATAGCTCTTTCCTTCTTCACTGATGCAGTCACTCCATTGTAGAAGACTAGGAGCTCAGTCTGGCATGACTTGCCCTTGGTGAAGCCATGTTGACTGTCTCTAATCACCTCCTAGTCTTCCATATGCATTGACATATCTTCCAGGAGGATCCCTTCCATGATCTTACCAGGCACAGAGGTGAGGCTGTTTGGTCATTGGTTCCCATGATCTTCTTCTTACCCTTTTTAAAAATGGGTGCAAAGTTTCCCTTTTTCCAGTCACTGAGGACTTCACTTAACTGCCATGACATTTCAAATACGGTGGAGAGTGGCTGTGGCTTACCAACTACGTCAGTCAAATTCACTCAGGAACCTGGGATACATCTTTTTGGGTCCCATGGAATCATTTATATTCAGTTTCCTCAGTTGGTCTTGAACCAGATCTTCACTTTGGATGGGAGGGACTTCATTCCCCCAGTCACTGTCTTGAGGTTTAGAGGCCTGAGAGATGTGGGAAGGGAGATTACCATTGAAAACTGAGGCAAAAGAAATGTTGAATACCTCGGCCTTCTCTGATATCACTAGTTCTGTATTATATACAAAGGGTGGGGTGAGGGTGTGTGCACATTTTCTTTCATGTTCCTATTCTGCCAGATATACCTGTAGAAGTCTTTACTGTTCTTCACGTCTTTTGCCAAATTCAGCTCCAACTGTACCTTAGCTGTCCTG